GACGTCCTAGTCCTACCTCGACAGAACTGGGTCTCTGGACTATGATTGATTGATTGATTAATATTGGACAATATGCAACTGGAGAAATCCCAAGCATTTCGAATGATTTAAGATATGATCTTTTCAAAAATCTATGGAAACCTAACGAAAATTATAAATTTCCATTTGTGTTGGAAGGTAAAAGAAAACGGTTTTTTAAATTGCATTGCTTTCAAGAATTATTCTGGCTGTCTTTTTCTGATTTGAAAAATGAGCATTCTGTAAGTTTTGTGTACTTTATGCAAATCGACATCCATCATGTGGCTCAGTCGGAATATTTGTTATATCACCTTTAAATCGTTATAAATGAGCTTTAGATCAATGTCGCCTTCATCAAGCGACATCTTTTCATAAACAGGCTACAGAAAAATCAGAAATGTTTCTGAGTTTGATTAAGAAAAAAACTAATGTTTTAGAGTTATCAAATTCCGCTCTTTCCACAAAAAGAGAGCAAAATAGAAAATAGCTTAACACTATTATTGAAACTATTAAACTTTGTGGATGACAAAATTTTGCTTTGCGTAGACACCGGGATGACGGTGCATTAGATCTCAAATCTGATAACAATCAAGGGAATTTCAGAGCGGTATTAAAATACAGTACATTTAGTGGTAATGAAGTATTACAAAAATTTATGTGTGAAACTAAAACCTTAATATCCCAGTTTTGGACCTTCGTCAAAGTTGCATAGATCCGCCCATGGACTGAGATATTATTTGACTGTTATTTACGTGTTGCATTATATTATTAAACTGTTAAATAAAAGTAATAATGATTTTATAATTAACTCTGAAAAATCTCTTAAAAAACTCTTAAAAAAACTCTGTTTAATCAATTTTGAAATAATGGTTGGCGAGTTAGCTCAGTTAGTAGAAGTGCCATGTCTCATGCGGTTACGCAATAACCCGATTCAGATACTGTTTTTCCGAAACTCAAAGACTATCATACACTTTTCGCTTGTGTTGAGATAAAATTATGAACTTGTCATTTTTAATTCAATCACTTTTGTCGATAAAGAATGTATAGAGGCGATTTTTTCTTGTGCTGTTACGAACTTGGCATCCCAGCAAGGCAGCAAAAAAGGCAATCTTCTACACAGGCATGAACAGCAGTGCACAATAATGCAAGGAAATTATATTATTATTTTTCAGTTAAGAGTTATACAGAGAATATTTTTATTGAGGAAAACAATTACAACGAATGATTTTAAATGGTTTTTAAAGTATTTTTTATTTAGTATTAAACATTTGGTGTTTAAGCAAAATTATTTATAAAGCAAAAGATGATCATTTTTCTGGGAGCCGGAACTTGGAATCGGAGTCGGAACAATTTTCCTCCGACTCACACTCCGGGTAGAAATGAACAAAAAAATGTGATGAAAAAACGTGTGCGTGCGAGTGTGTGTGAGTGCGTGTGTATGCATCTAACACATACATTGCGGCTAAAAAATGCTTGAAAAATTAAATATATTTTGTATTTTGTGAAACGTTAAAAGGTGGTGGGGATTATGAGAGACAACATGGAAAAAGTGCTGGATAGGGATCAGAAACTGAGTGACCTGGACTCCAGAGCTGGTGTGTTTTGAAAATGAAGTTGTTTCATCATGTGTTTTTTCAAATGATTTTTTTATTCGTCTAAAGTTTTTTATTTCGTTCACTATGTGCCCAGTTCACAATTTATAAATGTAACTCGTTGTTCTTATTTGTGTTTGCTCATTCATCTGTATGGTTAATTTCAATAATTATTTTATTTTTAATCTTTTCAATAAGCCAATAACTGTTTGCTAAGCATCTGACTTCTCAGTTTGTTATTCTTTTTCCATATAATTTTTTTTTGAGGAGGGTAGATTGTTTTCAAACAAGTTCATTTTTCATTCATTCTACTAACTTTCTGTCAAATCTGTATTTTCAATTTTCTATAATTTTCAAATATTTTCTGTTTGTCTGTTGTCTTATTTTCTCATTTGTGAGTGATACCACATGTTTTTTTTTGCAATTTAATTTATTTTACATCTCAAATGCAAACATTTACCTCATTATTTCAAAATGATATTGGATGGAACGATTTTCATGCTTATCCATATTACATTTACAACCTGATGTAATCAGACTTCCGAGATAATTGAAGCTGTTGACTTGTTTCACATGTTTACCATTAAAGCAGATCGTGGCGGTTTTGCTTTTACTGATAACCATGCCCTCTGTTTTATTGATTTAATTTGCAAGTCTTTCCTTTCACTTTCAAAAACCAGTTTGGAAACAATTGTTTGCAATTTTTTAATTGAATCTGCTATAAGAGCTGTATCATCAGCATATCTTACACTGTGTGATACATTACGTTACATATAAATCTAGGAACGGAAATATACTGATTTGTGTCTGAAAATATAATTGTATAAACTATCAAATAAGAATTTTTTTAAACAATAATTATAAAAAATGATAATTTGAATTTAAATAGCCAGAGCAATTGGTTCACTCAAAAGAATTGTTTCAATAAATAGTTTGTGTAATTATGATGTAGAAAATTGAATAATTTTTTCGGAAAATTATGAATACAAATAACAGCAACCATAGTTAGATCTGAGCAAAATATGTTATTTCCCAGATGATTCTGTTATTCTTCATTTGTTTTACAGAATCATTACAAGTTGGTGCACGCCAGTTTGAACAGAACACTTACAGAGTGCGCAGAAAATATTGGTGGAAAAATATTAAGGTCAGAACTCTTTTAATTTATTTTATGTTTTGTGTTTGAAATTTTTAAGTGACATACTTGAAAATTGAATTTCTGAAATTTGAAATTTTTTAAATGTTCAAATTTTCGTGACTATTCTTCTACAAGACTTTTATTTTTTTTGACGTTTGAGTTTATTTTTTAAATTTTTTAAGTCTTCTATTAACAGTGCCCTTGGTTTGCAATGAAATATAATTTTTTAGCTTGCCTTTTATGTTTTTCATTTTATGCTTGACTTCTTAACTAATCATTTTTGTTGCTGTAATAAATATCAGAGGACTTAATGCCAATCCCTGACGCAGATCAACCCGGACATCAAGCCAGTTTCTTAGCAATTAATTTCTCTTCTAGCTTTTTGTATATACATATCACAGAATTTACTAACCACTCCAATAAAAACTAATAACTTACAGAATATTTTTTCAAGAATGCATATCCTTATCAAAAGAAACTAGTTCCGAAAAAAATTTTCTTTTTTCTAGTAAATTAGATTCAATTTTATAAAGCAAAAAATGAAAATTTTCTGGGAGCCGGAACGGGAGTCGGAGTCAGAACAAATTTCATCCAGCTCACACTCGGGGTAGAAGTTAACAAAAGAATGTGTGTGTGTGTATGCATTTAACATATATTGCGACTGAGAAATGCTGGGCAAACTCTTTTCTGCCTTGTCTATTTTGGGTGTTGGAGGTGGCCATCCGTTGAGCAGCACAGCGGCATGATATGTCTCCGAGGCGAGTTTCGCAGCACTGCAATGCAAGGCAGATGAAGCTGTCTTTAACGCTCTGCTGTCGGTATCTGTGGGCAGAACGGTTTGCACTGTCTGTACATATTTGCTGAATAATGTGTGTTTTATATTTCTGTCGGATCGTGGTTCTCTTGTGATGTGGTGGCAAGGGTGACTGGTATTATGGCATTGTAAAAGGAATTGAGATAATAGTAGGTCAGTATGCTGCTTTACTAATAGCATCTGGCATTCAGAGTGGAGATGTTGTTCCGATGCTATTCCGTGGCATCCGGTGATTACCCGTAAAGCAGCGTTTTGTGAGCGTGTGTGAGTTTGCCCAGAGCGTTAAGAAGAAAACTGGCCCAGCTCCGCTCTGGTCACTGCATCTCCCTCAACAGCTACAGATCGAAAATAGACAGTAGGGTCAGCAACATCTGTCCAATATGCCAATTACTTCCTGATGATGTTCCCCATCTGTTAGCTGCCCCAACTCATTTCACGATAATAGATCTCTGGCGTAACCCGGTGGCTGTGGCTAACTGGCTACGGCCTCGTCTGGATCCCTTCAATGATGTCTGACGCAGGGCAACAACAACAACAACTGAGAAATGCTTGAAAAATTGTATGTATTTTGTATTATGTAATAAAACGTTAAAAAGTGGTTGAGATTAGGAGAGACAACATGGAGAAAGTGCAGATGCTAATTTTTCATGTTAAAAATAAAATACTTAGTTTTTAAAAAAAGCATGAAATGTTTTTACGGATTTTGGGTGCATGGAGTAATGAAGGTTGGGAAATGTTGCTTTAAGTACGTCAACATAGGTTTCTTTTAATTCTCAAATGTATTAAAGCGTTTTTTCTTAGCTCTGAACTTTTCCTGAATTCGCCTAAAATTATATATTGCATCAATTGTTCCATCTTCTAGTAAAAAGCCAAACCGCATAGTAAAAAGCCAAACCGCATCTTGTCAATTGTTTCTTGGCCGCCAATCCTTCTATTAGCATTTTTATCGTGTTTCTTAACAGCTTGCTTGCTCTCTGGTTTCAACAGCTTCGTACTCTGTACATTCTACTTTCTAATTGAATTTCCTTGTCTTTACAAATAGTAACTATATCAAAATTTTGTCCAGTTTTCCGGAATTACTTTTTTCAAAACTGCCTTATTAAATGAGTCCACCATAAATTAGAATTTCCCCCAGACTGCTGCCTTTCACGTTCCTTTCACTACCTTTAAATAATCTGGAGCTTTACCTATCTTAATTTTTCCAGTGTTCTATTAACCTCCCCTTTCTTCGTAAGTCTTACCTTTATTCCATTCTTTTTCCTTATTTTCTGCAGTTCTTTCATATACCTTTCAAATTTTTTTACACATCTAAATTGAAATTTACTTATGTACAGTATTTGGTGTAGCCAAGGCCACTTCCAACTTTGGTTTTTATTACGTTTTTTAAAAACTTTGTTATTAAGTTTTCAGATTTTTTTTCATTTTTTATAAATTTATTTTTTCCTTTACTGCCTTTTCACTGTTTCTTTCCAACACCAAGTTTTATCTCTTTGTGTTGGTTTTTTCCACATCTGAAATTAATTCTGTTGTGAAAGGCAAGCAGTTTTTAATATAATTTTTTCTACTCTAATATCGTGTTGAGGGTTTTTTAACAGATTTTGTATATTTTCATGTTCCAAACTTCTTACTATCCTTCTTTTTCGTCCAGTAGTCTGTTTCATTTTCTAAGATATGAACCCTCTATGCTCATGTACCCGTTATTTTTTAGCATGGTCATTTAGATTCCCTCATTTTCAGGTATTTTTATTATCTCGTTTATTTGGTTCTAAAGTATATTTTTCTCTCCTGTTAGTGGTGTATATCTCCTTCCTATATTACGTTTATCATACCTTCGGCTGTCACTAGTCTCTATCACGACCAGACTTGTTAATTAAACCCACTTCTGCCTTAGATTAGTCGTTTTCTATTCAAAATATTGTGTGTGTTTTTTAAGTTTTTTGATAATTCTGAATTCTTAATTTCTTCATCTAACCTTAAGCAGGTGGCATATATCCTGCTCTTTTCTTCTGAGAACTTCATTAATCTCCGCATTTTTCCCGGATAAAAATCCTATCGTAGTCTGACATCGCCATATTTTGCTTTTGTGAGTTTCGCATCTCAACAGCCTGCACTACCACAGGTGTGAACAGGACAGATGCATTTTTGCCCTTCTCAATGGATCACAAACATTTTAACGTCATGGACTCTTTAAGGATTTAATGGATGACAACCTGAGTGACCTGGTGCCGCTTCCTACCCCTTTAGTTAAGGTCTCCATATTCTTTAAAGAATTTGATAATTTTTGTCGATATTTATTGTGTACTCTCATACCAAAAAACATGACTCAGGATGGGTTATCGTTATCCGGTAGATATTTCGGTTTTTGCTGATTTTATGATTTATTGGTAATTATATGATTTTATGGTTTATAAGATGTTCTGAGAAGAAATGAATAATGCTCACTTGGATGTGCTGTTTAATATGTTGTTGATAGATTTTGAATGGTGAAGTTGGTATGTGTTTGTAAATTGGATAAATTTCATAAACATCATATAACGTTATTCAAAAATTTATTTGAAGTATTTATCATGGCATGAATTGATCCTAATATTTTGTTTTCATTTCAGATGATAATAATTCTTGTCGTGGTTGTTCTTGTTATCTTAGCTATAATAATTGGCTAGTAATTTTAATCATTTGTTTCATTTATTATCGTTATTATGGAGGTCATTTTATATAGCCAATTAAACGCTCTTAGCAATTTATTGCAACTCTTAAAGAACAAAAATGCAAATTATGTTTTTAAACTGTCAAAACAATGACTCAAAAAAATGGAATATTGTCATTAAATTTTGACATAAAAATTTGCATTATACATGCGTTTTTGTGTGCCAGAAAATAAAACTTTTGTCTATGTAAAAATTGATGAAACACTGATAATAAGGCTAATTTGATAAGAAAAAGATACGTTATTTAAGTGAAGTGTCAACAATCCAAACGAAGTAATTGGTTACCTAAAATTTAATATCGGTTCCTCTGAGTGGATCATCAAAAACAATGGATGCAGAAATAATCTTTGTGTTTCGGACTTACCTCATCTTAATTTTTTACTTTTTGCAATTTATTTTTTACTCAGTTTTTTGATTTTCATTATATTCCACAAAGTAACAGTATGTCCCTAGCGACTAAAGTGCACTTTATGAATTACCTAAAAACACCTTAGTTTGCAATATTATCTACTGGGATGATAGATACACTATGAAGATATTTTAACTCGGGTTATTATTTAGTCCTGAAGGGACGGTACACGTTTAAACTAAAACAAGTTAGGTGTTCGCAACAATGCACCTTTGCTCGGGGATAGAGATGATGTTTGCTATGTACTTGTGCTGGCCAACCGTATCTGCATAAGCTGGTCGACTATTTTCACTCTTATATTTTACTAATTTTATATATCACGTGATAAGGTGAATAGCAAATTTTGACCGAAATACGCCTTTTTAAACGGAGTATAAATTAATTGAATTTAAGACCAATCGTCTACAAATAGCGGAGATCCAATCGTCCGAATTAATTTAGTAACAAACCGTCCTAGTGATCATTTGATAATATTATATATATTATTCGTTAGAGTTTATTAAAATAAGATTTAAAAAGGTTTTATATTTTTTTTCATTTGTTATTGTCATTTGTTAAATGGCACGCACATACATTTTGAATGCACGCAGGTGTGATAGTGTCCTCAACGAGGCAGTAGATGTCAGTGGTGCTACATTCACCATGATTGAATTTCTTCACTGAACATTCACCATCGTTGCCGTTAGACTTTATGTATGTGTCTGTGTGTGTCTCTGTGTGTGTGTGTGTATGTGTGTGTCTCTGTGTGGGTGTGTGTGTTTGTGTGTATGCTTGCTTGCCTGGGTCTATTAATGCTATGACATTTTGAAACTATTTTAAGGTGTATTTGGATGCGAATTTGTTCGCTTTTTCTGTAATCGATGCTTATTTGCTACGAGGTGTTTATTTTAAATATATATGTATTTATATTTATATATATATATATATATATATTCATAAAATACTGTATAGAATATTCAATCAATACTGTATAAAATATGGTCTTCCAATATACTATCATATATTTATTTATTTATGTGTGCCTTCATTGTTCAGTATGTAATTTATATTATTAACCAATCAATTTTGATAATGATGAGGTAGAAAATAATGTTTTGCTAAAATATTTTTAACTTTGTCTTGGTGACACTTTGTTGATTCTTTTCAGTGGCCAATAAAATCTGTTTAGCCTATCATTTGTGTAACTACGTGTTAAATTTCGGCAAATTTAAATATTTTGCACAATTTTAACTAAACTTGTTTGCTTGAAATACTTGAATACATTATTTTTAGAGAATTGTTTTGTAAATTTTTTCAAAATGTATTGCCTTTTGAAGTAATATCGAAGTAATATCAAACGACTACACATGCCCAAAAAATTTAATGTGTAATTTTTCATTTTCTGTTTTTAGAAATATTGGACTTTACTATAAAACGAAATAATTTACGCTACTTTTTTAAAGTACGCATTCGTTTATAATCCAAATTGCTTTTCCAACGTCGTAACATCTGCATATCCTTATTGCCTTTCGTTACGCGACCTGTTTGAAAGTTACACTGACGTAATAACAGCTTGTCTACTTAAATTTACAGTCGATGCGGTAAAATGAAGGATATATTTAAATTAAATCTTCAGAATTTCTTTCAAATACCATTGTAAGGTTCTTTAATAAATTGTATAATCAGATGCAACTCGACTCGTACACTAAAGAAAAAAATTAAAATGCTACTTAAATTCTAAGTTCCTCTATTTTTTAGTTACCAGCTAAAAAGTTAAAATCACAAAATCTTATAAAATCACATGAAAGTTGGCGCATTCAATCAATCCATAGCCTATCATGTTCTTTATTAATCTTTATGCCTTCCATTTATTGTAATTAATGCATGTTAGCCTATCGATATTTATATTTTACGTTCTTGATCGTGATATAATAATGCTGATTATGTATAAACTTTATTTCAATTGTCCACATTGTGAAATGAAAATACTATCGAAGATTAAAAAACTGGCACGATTTATCAGCGAATAAGTACTATCGATTTGTTTTTAATTTTGTAAATATTAGAAAGAGAGAGTTGTGACGAAAAGAAAATGAAATAAAAAGAATTTCGTCGTCGCAAAATATTTTGCAAATTTGAAACAGTTTATTGTTTTGTATTTGAAATTCGATCGGTATTTATTTCAATCTTTCAAGTCGTCTTTTAAGTAATTTATCCAAGATTTATTTGCTCATTCGGTCCTCTCAAATTTCCTGACAGTATTTATAGATCTCTTGAAGTATAACGGGTACTCGGGTTCTTATTAATTCAGTTAACTCCTCCGTTTTCTCCTACTTTTTATTTCATTCTGTCCATCAATCTTTGATCAGTTTATCTTTGATGAGTACGTTTCCATTACAAATTCACCGAATAGTGAATTTAGCCGAAGGCCGAAGTGCTGAGTAGTTGATCCAATATTCGGCCAAAGCCAAGAGACCCCAAAATAAAAATTTATTTGTAGAATGAAAAACTGTGGGCGATTTATCCAACACTTGTTTTATCGAGATGTCATTCAATTTCTTGTGGAATTTTATATGTTTTAACAGTTATGATGTTCAAAATAAATTTCCCGCCAGCAATAGTTAATAATTATTGTTTGTCGAGATTGGTATACATGTAATTTTGTTACGATTTTTGTTTGTATAATTATAATTTCGTTGAGAATCTATGAGAAATTTTCTATTTTTTCCGTTTTCTATTACGATGTTTTGTTTGTTCGAGGGTTACCCATTTAAACAGGAGCTTTGCTTTTTCGGGTATCCTTTTCATGTTTTTTTTCATGAATAAACCTGTTGAAAAAATTGTTCTCGAAACAAAAAAAATGATGGCTAAAACAGAAGTTGCACTATTTGGGAATTCGCTCTATAAAAATGGCCAAAGCCGATACCTAAATTTGGCTGAATATTCGGCCAGGCCGAATTATCGGTCATTTCTAGTTTCAATCTTAGTCCATCTTTGACGTGTTCGTTTCTTTCCTTTATGTTGTTTTACTAAGGGATAAGCCTTACTTGTTTTGTTTCGCTCGTTAGCGCATCTAGTTTTTCGCGTTTCGTTGTTTTTTGTCTGCTCTCGCACTTTTTTTATCCTGTGACCACGAAATTCTTTTTGTTTTATTTTCTCTTTGTCACAACTCTCTCTCTCTCCTCTCTCTCTCTCTCTCTTTCCTTCTCTCTTTGTTGTCTATACTTTCTTTTTTAAATCTTTATAATTATATTGCGTGACACACGGCACAGATCATGTGCCACATTCTCACCACTTGGAAGAGCTCAGCATTGTGTGATAAATTTTATCCATTTCTGTTCTATTAATAGAAAATTTATAATGTTCATCGTTTTCCATTCCCATGAGATTTAAAATAAACCTAAATTTGGCTATTTCTTCTACTTTTTCAACAAGTGAAATTTTTACACATTTTAATTTAATTTTTCGAATCATGACTTATATTTTACAAACTTTTTATACAAAATATTTTTTGTTTTTTAAGATATAATTAAACCAATTATAATCCAAGGTTGTTTTCTACGTGTAGCCAACTTTTTTGTTGATTAACAACATCGTACAAAAGCTTTTTTATAAACATATGCCAAATTAATGCCTCGACAGTATCAAAACAATTTAACCTAGTTAAAATTTAAAAAACAAATTTACAATTTACAAATATTACTATGACAATAATTTATTGAAGGAATAATTGTCAGAGCTTAACAGGGGAGCAATTACTTTATAAGAGGTAAAGATTGGAGAATGGTCAGAGAGGGAAGAACATATGACAACAGATTCATGAGTGGAAAAGTTGTTGGTAAAAATATTAAAAATTAAAAATAAAGTAGAACTAGTAACGCGAGTTGGAATAGAAATTATTGGAAACAAATTGAAAGAATGCATTACGTTAACATATTGTACGCCGATGTCACTGCAATCATTCTTAAACAATTCAACATTAAAATCATTTAAAATATAAACACGTTTGCTTTACTTAGAAACTTTTGAAAATGAAGAGTTTAAATCATTTAGAAAACGTATGTTTCATTACATTATTTTAGGACAAAAACCAGCTTTGTGGGTGGTTAAAGAAGCCTCTGTTTTGGTGCCTGTGATCTTTTATATTCAACGTTGTTGCACTCTCAATTCATTTTTTTATGTAACGACGTGCTCCGAAATTGTATCGTTTCTAAAACGTTTCATTTAAGTCACAGGTAAAACTCGATCAACAAAAGTTATTTCTGTCATTTAGTGTGCTTAACTTTTCACTAGTGTCAAACTTTGATCAAAATTAATATCTGTAAATCGTCTTCCAAACTAAATTTTTAATCGAAAACTTTAAACCATATAGCCATGTTTCTAACCGTCCGACCATTAAGATCGTTATTTCCGTGGACATCACATCTTTTTGTTGCATTTCCAGTGGCATATCCTGAATATTATGGTGGGAGATGATTTTTAGAGTTGATGACTTTTGTTCGTTTCCTCTTCAATATTTAATTATTACATTTAAATGTTAATATTTAAACAGAAGTTATAATAAGTGTTATTTTACCACAAATTTATTTTTGCATTTTTCATTCGCCGTCTGAATGCCTCCTGTTACTTCCTACTAGATTTGTCATTGGTCGCTGTTTAATTTGAAGAAAACTATATTATGGTATAAAAATATGTTTAACATAAAAAAATTTCCTTCCCTCATGGTTTGGTTGAGGGTGCATTCCGGCATTTCTTATCATCAGATATATCACGATGTTTGATTATACTAGAATTCATGTTATTTTATGTATATCATTTTTATATACTTCAAAGGTCTTGAACATCATTAAATATTTGGTTTTGTACGTCATGTAGGTACATGCAAAAGATGTTCAATCAATCAAATTTTAAGAGATTCAACTGGGCTCAACCCAGAATTCGCAGAACAAACAATTATTCATCAGCTCGCGCACCCCAAGGTCATTGATTATAAATGTTTCTACCAAAAATAATAAAAAATGCTGAGCTCTGCACACTACATTTTATATTAATAAATTTTCCATTAAACCATTTCAGACCTCAAATCTTCACAAACGTAAACATTATTTTAAAATTTATTCTAATAAATACTTTCTTCTAAATCACACTACTGTAGTTGGAATAAACAATAATTGATGAAAGAATTTGAATAAAACGTGATGTGTACTCTTGGCCGACCCTGCCCTAATAACAAAATAATAATCATTAGTGTTATTATTGTTATTTTGCCATGATTCATACCATGATTCTCATGGGATTCCCATGAGAATTGGTAAAACCTAATTTTGGGAATGGGAATTTTAATGAATAGGGATTCACTGTTCGGGAATCGGAAAAACAACATATACATGCCCAAAAGATTTATTCTCTAAAATGATATATAAAGAAACGTCATTATTGTCGTTTACACTATAAATATAAGCAGAAATCGATCTGCTTTCATCACATCTTCATATTTAATCATCAATGGACCCATGGTGTATACTAAGGGGAGGCCTATTTGCAAACATACAACACATTTATAATGGTTGAAGCAGAGATATGCAAAGAAACTCAATTATTCCACCATTTTCGGTACTGTCGATTTTATTTTTTTAAATTTATACAAATAAAAGTAATTAATTACCACATTGAATAACAATTTAAAAAAATTAAAATTTTAACATTTTAAATAAAAGCAATATCCCGAAATTAATAAATAAACGATCACAACTTTTGACTCAAACGATAAAAAATCACCCTCCAATTCCGCTCATAGAACACTCATTGAGAAAATATTATTAAGAAATATCACTACATTTTCATGTTTGATTAGTTTCTGGTTCTGTTTTTCAATATTTCGTATAGTATTTTATCAAAATGTAAACTATTCATAAGTTTGTACAATTTAAATCACGCTTGCTTCTGTCCGTTTTAAAAGTTTGATCACAATGCTTTATGTGATCAGTTTCAACCCTTCTAGTCGAATTTAGCTGTTGTGATTTTGTTTGCACTCCAGAAATGTTTTTAGCCATAGATATTACTAAAATAAATTGACAAATTCAAGTTGTAATAGAAAACAAAAATCCCCTCTTTTACTCAATACTATACTTTCTATTGCAAACCTTGGCTAGTGCCAAACAGTCTAAAAAAGACCTGGAGACAAACGATTCAACAAGACTTGAAAACGCCAAATCTCAATAAACTAGGCGCAACCAACCGCATAATTTGACGTCGAAAACTGCCGACAAAGAAGCAACATCCTACCTAGGAACCGAGAAAACAAACGGACGCTAAACGAAGACTGAACAATTCCTGCCAACATTCAGCAAACCGCCACGGAAAACAGAAGAGTCATAAAAACAAAGAGTATTTCATAGAATTGAAAAATTAATTTAAATGTCTGTTCACACACACACGCGAGCATACGCACGCACACACACTTACATGTATATATACATATGTTATACAGCTATTAAAAAATATCACCGCATTTTCCCCAATGTTGAGTTTGTAACTAAGTTTTGCAATTTTTCTAACAATTATTTTATCAATATTATTCAATGTATTCAAATTAATAATAAAATTTCTAATTATTTTAGACAGCATTTTTCATCTTCACATTTACATAAAAGCTTTTTTCGGTAACCTTTACTATCATCAGTGTAATAGAGTAATGTAATGCGGAAAATGCGGTGATATTTCTTAATAACTGTATATACGACAGTCTGAACCCAAAATACATATGTTATACATATATATATATATATATATGTATATATATAACACATATAAATACAAGATAACCATTATTATGGAGCTGTTTATTTAAAGTATGGGATATAAATTAAATGATGGCGATGATGCGCAAAGAAACTGAATGGATCCTCTTGATAAGAAGTTGCGAAAACCTAAAAACCTCTGACCAACAGTTGTTTGCAAGAATATATTTGTGATTTAGACATTCACTTTAGACATCAGTTATAATATGATAACATGTTGTTTAATTATAGGAAAAAACTATATAACTACAACCACAATGATCAACAGTTGAATGAATAGAAATACATATCCATTTTTACATAAAAATAATGACTAAAATTGAAAATGCTTTTTGAAAAAATCTTATCTAAAACTTTAATAAACGAATAAATAAAAAAAAACCAATACATTAGTGTAATTGATATATTCACAAGTCCACATTCTGTACACCATCATAAGAAAGCACAAGAAAAGTTATAAAAAATCTAAACACATAAAAATTATATATTATTAATTACAAAATTACATACACTTCTGATGGCTTGAATAATGATAACACCAAATCAATTACAATAATCAGTAACAAATGATAACTTAAAAAGAAAAACACCAATTTTTAATAGTTTTTTTGGAAATACAGTAATTAGTTATCAGGTTGTCATAATTTCATCAGCTTGTGTTTTATCATCAACAATGCCTACACCAGCATTATTTAACGTTCCAGACACCGACAGTGCAACATTCTCAACATCTTCCGGGAGAACCGACGTGTTACCTGCTGATAAATGGTTACTGTCATCATTAATTTCACTTTTTGTTGTCAACTGAGATTGCATTACGACGTAAAGTTCTTTTCCATCTATAGAAACTTGTGATGATTGTAACTGTTGTTGCAGCTGTTGCTGTATTTGCTGTTGTTGACGCAAATTATTACGATCCTGAGTTAGCGACGCCGTGTACATGGCTGTCCCGCCAGCGAACGCATCTCCCAAAACAACTTCGTCATGTTTCTGACGTAAATGTCTTTTGAGGTCGTGAGTGAAAAAATAAGTTTTATTACACCCTGAATGGGGACATGAATTTGGTTTATTGTTACTTGTCCAAGATCTTCTTGACTCTTTCCTACCTCGAGCTTGCTGCCGAGTTTGCGATTTTCCGACTTGTTGCTGTTGTTGCATCTGTTGCTGCAGCTGCTGTTGTTGCTGCAGCAATTGTTCTTGTTGCATAAGATCTGATAAATTGAATGCATGTGGTTGACCATTGGATTGATTTGTAGTAGAATAGAGCGAACTGACTAAGAACTGGTTTCCGGATAACGCAAGTGTTGCCTGCTGTTGACCGGACGAGGATGATTCCATCAATGAATTTGTCTGAAAAAGATTTTTTTAGCAATAAATAAAAATCACAGTAAAAATTCAAAACATTTTCAAAGCTCTCGTTGTCATTATTGGTAAAAAATTGTAATGATAATTTTAAACAGAAAAATAATCATCAAAAGAATAATCTAAGAAAAAGCTTTGATGCAAGTAAGTGGTAGATAATTGTTGGATTGTTTTGACGAGATACTGAACAAAAAAGACATTGAACAAAAGATATTAGAAGTTATAGATGTTCCCAAGTATTTTGTGCTAAAAACTTTTTTAATAGTGAAGTTGCCAATTATTAATGAGAAATTGATTGATGACAATCTCAGGTCCAAAGAGAATGCAACAAGATTCGTTAGTATTGATAAAAAGATCTCTAACGTTAATCCAATCAAATACTTTTTCTAATTCAAGTTTAAGTAAACTGATGTGCCAATATTGTTACTAGCCAGAAAAATAGTGGCGTTGTCAGCAACGGGTATACATTTTAGAATAGAAAAAGAGCTTTGCCGGGTTCAGTTTAGTACCGACAAAGTCATTCTAATTAATAATTTGAACGATGCCTGGCAGTAAGTAATGGCGAGTTATGACGAGAGCTAAACAATATAGCCAATCTGAAAAACCACGGAAATGTAAAAAACAGCAGTAATTGGGGCGAATGGAGCAGTTGTTTGTAGTTCAGGCAGTGCGGTAATTCAGTAATAACGTCGTCGTGATTACTGTTTTCCGCTGCCACGGCTCTTTCAACTCATCGTCGCAGCAACTGAAGTCCTTGTGCTTATCATTTTCGTCAACTCGTCAGTCTACACATCCGTCATCGTCGTCGTGGCGATATCATTCTGTGGCCACGACTCTGTCAACTATATATAAGTTTTGCACAATCGTTATCGTCGTGGTTTGACATTAACATTAATATGTTATTAAAATGAATTACTGCTGTATATTGAATGATATTGTATTTTGTTATGTAATGATTACTTGATCTTATAAATGAACGTATATATATATAATTATTGCGATTAGTTAATGGCCGTTTCATTCGATTTATTCAATTGTTTCAACTGGCTACTGACATATATTCCTGTTTCTTTGGTTAACAAACTGAACCCGGCAAAGCTCTTTTTGGTAATAAACACATTCTGTTCAGCAAGCTGGTCTTCGATTAACAAAACTTTTGACATTTTGTGAATTAGTTCTCACAAGCTTATAAGATCATTAATGTAAATACTAAAAAATAGAGTACCAAGAATTTAACTTAAGGAAACTCCCATGGGTAGAGTTCATGAAGTAGAACAGATATTGTTAACTGGGGTGTATTGCTAATGATAAGCGAGAAAACTTTTATACCAATTTAGAGCCTAATCACTTCTCCCATAGTGCTTGACTTTGTTGTGGTTTATGAAATTGAAAGCTTAAGATAGTAGGTCAGTTTAGATAAGTTTAGATAGGTTTGTTCTCATTAATAAAGACTATTTGTTGGTCTAGGTTAAGACAAGGCAAGTTCAGTAAACGTCTAGATGAACCTGCCCAAAAGCCAAGTTGGAGGTTCGACATAAGAAACAGTTTAATCTGGAATAGACAAATTTTTCAAGTAATTTAGATAAAGTAGAGATAAAAATAGAGATTAGTAGTTGTTAATGTCCATTTGACAGCCTTTTTTGAAGAGTAGAATTACTTTGAAAGTTTTCAGAGCAGAAGAAAATATACCAAACTTCAGAGAAAGGTTAACAAGATAGTAAGAGAAGTGTTTGAATGAAAATTTTTTTCAGGATAAAAAAGGAGATTATCGTGGCCATTGGAGTGAGAGAATGACATTATTGTTGTTATTATTGATGTTATTTACATTGAAATACATTCTAAAGAATCAAAATTAGAAAGTAAGCTGAGCAATGAGATTATATACTGTTACATCATTTAATGACTGACAATTTTGTACCTAGATATCATAACTTATACTGTCAATTTGATATTTGACTATACATTCAGAATAATATCAATGCGATAAAGCTTTAGACAAACACACATCACAACACAGAGCGCAGAAATCTCAAATTCACTATGACATAACGAATCTAAACTGCAGTCTTGCCTATTAGCAGATCAGTTAAGACAAAAAAACCAACTAGTCAAAAACAAAAGGAACTAACCAAATGATTTTCAATGCCACCACCTGGTGATATCTTCATTGTTTGTTGCTGATTAGCCTGATGATGAGCAAGCCATGTGGGTGATGGTGACGTAGAAGATGAAGAAGCAGACGAGGCAGTGGCTAAAAGACCACTATAAACAGGAGGTGCATTTGATATGATGTCATTATTAGCCGAAGACATCCATAATTTAGAATCAACATTGTCGTCATCATCATCATTTGATGTCTGTCCAGAATTCTCAAGAAGATTATTGTTGTTGTTGTTGTTGTTAAGCACATCAGTTGCATTTCCACTTGAACCACCTTGTTTCAAATGAAGGATCAGTGCTTCTGCCTGGTCATTTTGTCGTAACTGCTGCTGTTTGACAAGGTGGTGCGAAGCATTCACGTTCAAACTATTAGCTGCACCACTCAAAGCTTGTAAAAGACTAGCATTTTTCTTACTATCTATACTTGGATCATCATCTGCTTGCGACTGAAAATTAAACATTATTTAATTTATTTATGAAAAACAAATCCAATTATGCCCAATTACAACTATAAAGCATAAGCATAGAGAGACCTGGTTGAGTTGATTGCCTTGATGTCTATGGAAGAGTGCCTGTGCTGCTTGCGCCACTTGTTGCTGTCCCTCTTCATCAACAACACAGTGCTGTTGAAGCTGATCTAATATTAAACCAGACACAAGCGCTTTGTTGCTCAAAAGGCCTAAACCTGTTTGATCCGCCATATTGATCGCAAAACGTTGTTGCAGCGCTGCACTGGCCACAGCAACCGATTGTTCCAATGCCTGAGTATCATATTGAATTTGTTCTAACGTTGTTGCAATGGACTGATCATCTCTTTCGTTTTGCTGCTGTTGCACAGCTAAGTAGTTGTTCCTCAGTTGCTGCTGAAGTGCTGCAACATTATTTACAGTGACTAGGGTTTGATCTGGAGTTTGTTGCAAAAATTGCTGTTGCCTCATGGCAGCCAACGCAGCTGCCATAACCTTCTCTTTTTCTTTTTCTAAATTTATTTGTTGTTGTTGCTGCTGTTGTTGACTTGGTAAAATTTTGTTAAAAGGAATGCTCCAATTAGTTGAGTTGTCGTTTTGTGACATGTCGGCCAAGTTACTGGCGTTTTCCAAATCTGATTGGCTCTGAAAAAAGATGTCATAAATTTTTATATAACTATGTTTAAAAAGATAAATTAAAAAATTAAAATCCAGAAAATACAAACCAAAGTGTCTCCATCACATATAATGACACCATCCATGTCATTATTATTGTTGACTTGGTCTTGCTGAGAAGCTGATGTCAAAAATTGAGTCATATTTTGTAGATCACTGAGATCCAGCTTTTGTTTTTTGGCGGCCATCAACGCTAAAGCATTCTCATTTAAACCTGAATTTTTTAATTTTTTTTTAATTTTTTATTATATTTTTTGATTTATGAAAACCTATTTACTCTTGGTTAATTTTTTCAAATGGTGTGCAAACATTTTGTGTTTCTGTTATAGATTTGTGTTAATTTTATCCTTCTGTCAATCAACTGATTATGTTTGCTACATGCTTGAAATGGTAAAATTTTGTTAAAAAGAATTCCCCAATTATTTGAGTTGTGATTTTGTGAAATGTCAACCGGCTTGGTTAGCTGATATTTTTGGAAACATTAAAAAAGAACTAGCAACAATTTTGCTTACTCCCCCAGCCAAATTAATAAATCATTTTACAGTGCTAATAATAATCCTCAAAAATATTGTTTTAATTAAATGCCATAGTGAAGAAAAACTTGATAAGTGATATACTTTCACTAAAACTAAATCCTCGCTCTCCTGTTTCTACAATAACAAGATACATAAATTATTAAACAAATTCATTTAATTCCTTTACGCTATTAATAAAAGTATGTGAATAGATTAAAATTTGTAATATTATCAACAACAGAACTGATAAATCAGTCCAAGACAGCAGGAAAAATCAACTTCTTTTTGATTACTTAACTGGACACAACGCATGAATTGTATTATTTTATTTTATTATTATTAAAATATAAATAAATTTAACAGTTTGATAACTGTTTTTAACACTTCTGAACAAATATGTCAACTAACACTTTGAAATGTTGTTGATGGTTATAAAAATAGCATCATAAAACTAGTTATATAGAAGTGATTTTTATTTTCACGTTTCCACTTTAGTAATTTATAATTCTTATCTGCATCAAGATAAGTTTTTTATTTTGTTGAACATTTCAAAAAGCATCACTGTCAGTTTTGGCAGTGCTTCCAAACATTTGGATGTGTCTCTTTTTACAATAACAAATAATGGTCAGGGCTACAAATTCCACAGTGAATTTGATGTTGAAATGCTATAAAATGTGAAAACCTCGCACCAAATTAAACATTCTCGAATGATATAAAACATAATAATCTCATGCCGAGTTTGACATTTGCAGATGATATAAAGCATGAAAACCACATGCCAAATTTGACATTGAGAAGCTAAAAGGCGTAAGAACAGGATATCAAAAAGGACAACATCCTTCTTATATGACATAAAAAGTGATAATCGCACAACAAATTTAATGCTGAAAAACATGAAATCTATACAAAAAAGTCCACATTCCTATAATATAAAGCGTGGCAAACGTTGAGTTTCATGCCCAATGCAGTTAATTATGCATGATGCTTAGCTGTAAAAAATGTTAATTTAATGTTTAAAAGTAAAAAATAACTTTTAGGGTAAGAATTAGGGTAGTTATTCTTAGTGAGTCTTAGTATTTATATACATTTCCATCATAAGTCGAACAAGATATTCTGGAATGAGTTGTCAACGTAGACTCCACCTGATTGCTTCAAGGAGAACTCGATCAAATGCTTTTTCAAGGTCTACAAAAATGTGTGATAGTTGTTGATGCTTTGCAAGGTACTTCTCTTGCAGTTGCCTAAGGATGTGAATTGCATCAATTGTTGATTTCCCGGCTAGGAAACCAAATTGATAATTTACGATTGTGATGCACGACGTTAATCATCTCTCAATAATATTCTTGACAATTTTTAGGGAGTGTTCTAAAAGACGTATACCCCGATATGATGAAAAATTCAATGGATCACCTTTTCCTTTGTATAGCGGGACTGTCATGCTATAGTTCCATTCAGTCGACATTGAGCAATTTCTCCACACCTCACAGCAAAGTTGTAGTAACGTTTGGATACCTGCAGTACCAGATGCTTTGATAATGTCATTTGTGAGTCCAGAGGGCCCTGCTGCCTTTCCACCTTCATAGCTTTCAGAGCTTCTGTAAGCTCCTCTACAGTGATGTCTAGAATCGGACCTTCGATGGGCAGAGTGTCAAAGTTGACATTGATGGGATTTGTTTCATTTATCAGACGGTTGAAGTATTCTCTCCACTGTAGCTTGATCTCATCTTGTTGAAAAATCATCTCATGAGGCACCAACTATGTCTTGTTGAGTACGCTTTGCTTGTTTTGCTATACGATACAGAGATTTCATTTGTTCACCTTTGCTTTTAGTGACCCACTCTCTGCACTGATCTGTCCGAGCCAATGCGACTTGATGTTTTGCATAGTTGTACTTCTCATGACTTGATGTCTTGCATAGTTGTTCTTCTCACGGAAAATTTTATGGTCATCAACAGACTTTGATTTTTGCATGCAGCTTTCTTTTCAGCTAATGCATTTTGTACAATGTCATTCCACCACCAAGTGTCCCAATTCATGCTGGCATTTTGTACCAGTTTTCTCACAAACTGTAGTTGCAGCGTTTATCAAAACGGTTTTGTATGTAATCCAATCTGTACTGGCTTGCGATTGGTGGTCTAACTGTGTTGCGACAATCTGTTGAAATTTTTCTTGATAAATAATGCTTTTCAGCTTCCACGTTTTGATTCTCTGAGGCATTTGTTTAGACTTATGTTTTGACCTTGACAACCAGGTCTGCCACAAGAAGTCTATGTTGGGTGACACATGATTCGCCAGGTATAACTTTGACATTTTTTGAACATCCTTCGGTGTTGTTGCTTAACAGCGAAGAAATCAATTTGCATGGCTGATGGTCCACTTTTGTTTGTTATGAGATGTTTCAACCTCTTTCTAAAATATGTGTTCAGTAAACAAAACCCGTGACTTTCAGCAAACTCAAGGATGTGGTTGCCATCTTCATTCCGTTTTTCATAGCTAAAACCACCATGTACGTTGTCATGAATGTTATGTTATAAGGTGCAAGAAAAGTGTAAAAATGTAAGTAAAAACCATCAAGAGTCCTATCTCATTACTATTTCATGCTCACGATGTAGAACTATATTGATTATGTGGGTTGCACTCACAACAGCTGACACTCCTACTGTATGCCATACGGTACAAAGTAGATCTCAATATCAAATTTTTAACACAACCTGATAAAACAGGTTTTACCATGTATTTAATTTCAATGAAGCTGATTAATTTTAATAATATTCATCATAAACTTGCACTCATTTTTTGCTTAGAAAATGATATTTTAAAAAACATAACAAAATTACATTACATTATATTGTAGGATATTATCTGGAAATATCCATACACACACAAGGAGCAAACAAAAAATGTTTAAATATGTTTAAAGATTTTATCATTTATAAATGAAAATAATGAAAAGATTTACAAATACATGTCTAAAGTGAATAAAACTTATTTTGGTATGTTTTAAAAATGACAAATAGATAAAATGATATATAATTGAGCATGTTAGTACTATCGGTGTGGTCACCAAAGCATTTCAAAATAATTCTGGGCAATTGTTTATGCCCAGGGTATCTTCCGAAGTTACATCTGTTACAAATTAAAACACTAGCAAACACATGAAGCATAGTAATTGTAATAACCTGGTATTTGTTGTGATATCGAGGGTAGATTAGAATGCTGGTTTTTAAGTAACTCAGAGTCGAAAAACTCACTGCCGACTACTGCAGCCATTGCATGATTGCCATGTATGAAAGTTTCATTGAATGAAACCAGAAATACTTCTACTTCGTCGATAGTGATCCCCAGCAATCCTTCAACTTTTAATCGATCTTTGAATTTGAATTCCGAACAACACAAACTAGTGATACTTTCAACAACAAGTGATCGCACTCTATCATTATCCATTTTCATTGCTTTCATGATTTTCAAAGTTTTAGCAATAAAATAAAAAAGTGTACCTTGTACCAACAGAAGAGTTTTAAATGTTAAATAAGTTAAGAAGAAAACAACATAAATATACTAAATAAATTTATTTTGTTTTAAACTATAAAATTTAGAATAGATGATAAATAAATAAATAGTAAATAAATTTGGTAATGTGCAGAAAGTGAAAACTTAAAAAACATAAAAAAAGAGGCCTAACAACAATCGCAAAAAGTCGAATGGTAGACCACGTATTTAATATTTTAACTTTAAATAATTTATTTATTTTTTTTTAATTCACTCGTTTTTTAAGTTTAACTTTTAAATTAAAATATTAGAAGTCCGAATAAAAATAAAATAACAAATAAAAATAAATATAAAGATATGTTATATTGAAAGATGTGAGCGATAACACGTTTAAAACTTAGAAAGTTCAAAAATATTCATTTCTCGACAAAAACGGAACGATCGCTAGTCAGTAGATAGGAACTATGATTTTTGATTAGATTCTATTTTCACTTAATAAACAGAAAGAAAACAAACTTTCTGTCTCAGCAGCTTGTGTCGAGAATATGAAAACGATAAATGTCAAAAGCGCACAACATTCAAAAATTTTTCTTTTTTTCAAAAATTTTTTCATTTTTTAATTTTTCTCAAACTATCAATTAATTTTATTGCTGATTATTTTTTTCATATGTTAAATTTATAGCAACAGTTAAAATTTTGAATTTAAAAATTGCAAATGGATTCGTTTTATTCAATAAGTATGAGTACTACACATTGAATTATATAATTCCATGGTACTACAAGATATGTGTAGAACAAAACAATCAATCAATCTTCGTTTTGCGTCCAGAGACCCGGTTTCCCGAGGTATGACGTTGTTCTCTTTGCCATCAACTTTTTGCTCCAAATTAGACGATCGGTTGTATCCATTTCATTTAAATTTAGAGCTATATATAGAGAATATATATATATATATATATATATATATATACATATATTTATATATGATGGTAAAAGACCATAATTAATGCAGTAATTTTTGAAATCTACCGAATTTCTAGCCTTGGATAGGTTTTTATAATATTTCTCAATATTTTTAACCATATTCTTATCGTCATTATTATTTTATTAAAGTTAAAATAATAAACAGTTTTCCAAATCTATTTCGAGTGTATAGGATCCATTTAGATTTTTCAATCATCTGTTGCAGTTTATATAAAAAATTTGTATAACCTAGTACTTGTTGCAGGTCCCTTTATTAAATAATTCCCTATATAAACTGCTACTATATAGTGGTTCAGTAGATCTCTGTGTGAGAACCACTGGATCAATTTTGACTAATAATGGATTTAAAATCCCAATCTTCCAAGTCTGACATTGAACTCCTGCGTTGTAGAAGCTGTTACAGTTTTTTCGTCCAGCTTATTCCAATGTTCAATAACTCTTGAACTGAAAAATCTTGTTTGATTGGTTTGAATAGTTTCCTCTGATGCCCACTTTTTGTCTTCTCTGAGTTAACCAATTAGTTAACCAGTCAAGTAAGTTTTCTTCTATTGCTGCCTCTTTTAGTTTTATGCGTAATCGCTTATGTGGCACTTTATCAAATGCCTTGGCCAAGTCCAAATATACTACGTCTACGGTTTTATCCTTATCCAAGTTGGCGTAAACCTTTTCAAAAAACTCTAGCATATTTTTTTACAAAACCGTGTTGACTTATATCAATTATATTATTATTTGATAAGTGTTCTATGATTCAGCTTTTGATTATTTTCTCTAGTACTTTACATACAATGCTTGTTACGCTGACTGGTCTGTTATTGTACGGTTCACTTCGATCTCCTTTTTTGTATGTACGATGCATCCTTCCAGTTCCTATCAAAAACTCCTTTGTTTCGCTGAGTAACAAACATTCTTTTGTTTGATTGTTAATAACAAATCCACTTTATCATTATAACAATCATAGTAGTTCTGAACAATATATATTACATTGTAGGCACTCAAATAAACTCACATGCTTGCATGGTTATGTGCGTAGGAATTAAAACAAACGCTCATGCAATTATATTTGCACGTATTTTAACATGTAATTTGTCAAGTAGGCATTAAAATAAACTTACATGCATTTTTTGCAAGTATTTCACTATGAAATTTAACGGCATTAAAATAAACACATAGTTAATGATTGTTACGGCCTTGTAATATAAATACAATATGGTCTCCAATATGGCCTCCTTCCAGATATATATATATATATATATATATATATATATATATATATATATATATATATATATATATATATATATATATAATGAAAGGAGACCATAATTGATGAAATATTTGATATCTAATTTAATCTAATTATATGGTAGATAGCATATAAATAATTTGGGTTGAGACTGTCGTAGATACATTAGTCAAAAAATATCACTGCATTTTCAGTTTTGAAAATTTTTGAAACTGGTTCAATTTTTCAATATTTCGTACTGTATTTTTATCATTGTTTTTTAACTTACTTATGTAGAAAACAAAGTTTAACTATTCTTTTATTCATTTTTATCTTATACATGAAAAGTTTTTTTCGTTTAATCCTTTACCATTTTCAACATGGATATGGATTTATATATCCATGATTTTCAATGGAATATGTTATCAAAGATTGGTTGTATTTATGTAGCTTTACGTTCCTACTTTATTTGCTCCAAAAAATCACTTTGCATTAATCAATTGTTTCTCTTTATTTGTAGTTTCTTTTTCAGTAACAAATTTACTGTTACAGAATGTCTAAAAAAGAAGGAAAGTGAAATTTTGACCACGTTACCAAAATATTGGCCCCCTTATCAAAATGTTGGTCCCCCTCGATGAACATTGAAAAATTTTCAGAACAAATTTATGAAAAAAATTTGTGAAAATCTCACCCGGTCTTTTTCTTGAAACCTCCTACCCCTTCTGGCCCTCCAGACGTCAACTAATTTTGGAAAAAATTATTTGGAAATCACCCCCAGTCATTGACTTTTTCTTCAAAATTTCCCGGTTGTGAACTATTTTTTTGAAATTTGTAAATCCCCTCCAGGTCGCCAAATATTTAAATATTTTTGAAAATGTTGGTTCCTTCCGCTTCAAAGATGTCCAGATCTATCAGTGCCTGCATCAATTACTTTGAATGCGAGACGTCATTGCTACACTGGCTTCCAGTGAAGCGTATAAGGGTAGAGATACGATTGGGTAAATGTTAATTAGGATAATCATCTGAACCTCAACTGTGTTAGCGATAAATTTCTAAATTATTATTATCTTATGAGTGGTCAGCGGCGCTTTTAAACGTTTAACAAATTCACAGCGCACGCTTATTGCATGCGTAGAAATTAACGCATTGTAAAATGTACGTAGTGTAGTTAAGTATTTCAAAAATTTAAATAGGTATTTGTATTTTATGTAAATACTTGAATAATATTTTTAAAATATTTAAATACTTGAACAGTATAAGTTTTATATACATTTAATATACATATATATTCTTACTCAAGTCATTAATTAAATAGCAGTATTTAGATAGTATTTAGTTACTTTAAAATTGTAATTAGTAATTAACAAGTTGAATTAATTTGATAAAAATTCGCTTCATAAATCATTTATTTTCATTTGTGCTGTCTATGCAAACTGCTCTAACTCTCTTCAATCCACTTAATTTTCTACTTTTCAGTTCATTTTGGCTGATTTTAGTAAAAACAAAGAACAGTGTATCAATGATAGATTCCAATTGTTTAATGGAACCATATATATAGATTACAGAATCAATTTTAGAATATAATGAAAAAATTTTTTCTTCGAACTATTAACACATCCCGGCTCCGGCCTCTCAAAAATTCCGATTCTGATAAAAAATCTTGTTTCTATTTCATTACCCTTTTTCGACTTGACACTTTTATTTAAGTTTTTGTTTTCTGGATTGTAACATTGGGCAAAATTTGTTTAAATAATTTTCTTGGGAACATGAATTAGAGGATATAAATGTTCCACCTGAACAACACAATAAAATAAAATGCTAAAGAAACAGAAAATAAATTTACATCATAATAATCAATGATCAAATCGCGATTTTAAAAACGCGCTTTTTTTCAAGTTGTTTTTCATATTGTTGCGCTTTCCAAAAGACAGACGTTCAACAAATGCCTCTAATGGATCCAAAGCGAAAACTGAAGATTCTGAAGATCTGAGTTATCAAGTCGAATAATCGGTTAACATTTTTGGAAAAGAATTTTGCGACTGCACTTAGCTTGTTTTCCTAAATAATTTTTGATTCTACTATGTATTAATTATTAACTTTTACAAACAGCTTAAATTAAAGATAAAAATTTCTTAGCAACATTTTCGCTAGGGGTATTGTTATTGATTTAGTTTATTATTTTTGTTTTTCGGTGTAATGTTTGAAGGCTGTCTCGAGAAAATTCTCCACCATTTGAATTTGGTTTAAATTTTACCCTTTATCGCTTTCTAACATTCAACGGAGGGTTTCTTGCCTATCACACTATTCACTTGGCAGATAAATGCTCTTGTCTGTATAGGTCGCATCGAGAATACTTCCAAACGATACTTTACTGCACTTTGCTATTTACGACCTCCGACTGAAATTCGTTTCATATTTAATGATGGTTGCAACATAAAGGTTTTGTAATAATAAAATTATATAACATTAAATCTTCGTAATATAAACTTAAAAACGCTTAGCGCGCAATAAAATCATCAACAACCGGCTTTCCAACACGTTGTAGGAAATGAAACGTTAATTCAATGTCGTCATAAAAGAAAGTTAAGTTTTGAAAATTATTGCAAGCCAAATACTTGAAAAAATTAATTCAGTTTTTAGTTCATAAATTTAAAATTTCATTTGGTTTTGTTTTATTTTTTTAAAATTATTTATAAAATTATTTTCGTTTTTTCAGTTTTTGTTTACGAATTAAATTTATTTCCAGGAACCATTCTGTTCGTTGTACAGAGGTCCGACTGCGCATAAGATACTTATTCGATATAAATGTGTGTGGTATATACATATATACTATATTCTACATAAATTATGTTTATGTTGCGTTGTCTACCAAAACGGCGAGGACGTTGTGACGCTCTTAAGTGACATTCGCTTTCTACGAGATCGTAGATGACTTTTTAATCCAAAATCTGAAGCGAATAGTTTACCACAATGGGGGGAGCATCGAGGACCAGTTGGTTTCAATTTTTTTGATGTTGCTGCAGATGGATAAATCGACGCCTGCAAGAAGCTTTTGTTCATTGCAACATGAACCTTGTGAGACTAGCTTTACAAATCTTCTTCCATGTTAGAGTGGCTGCCGTCGAGACGCTGACGAAACGGGATACCTGCGTCAGACGGAAAAATATCGCGATAGATGAGAACGGCGGCAGTCAGAAACAAATTAAAAATTACAGGAGCCAGAATACAGCTCTGTTTTACTCCCACCATAATATCAAACGGTTTATATTCCTTATCATCAACAATGTCTTTAGCCCTCAAACCAGTACGAAATTCGCGCAGTACATTCGGAAAGTTTGGCGAAAAGCCAAATTTACCCAAAATCATCCACAACAAATTTTTGTCGACTGTGTCGAAAGCCTTCGTCAGGTCGATGAAGGCCAGGAAAAGATCCTGATTTTGTTTTTGGCACTTTCCCATCAGGAGGCATACAACAAAAATCAAGTCGGTGGTGCTACGGCCGCTTCAGAAGCCACATTGCAATTCTGAAATGACAACATCAACAATGTGTTTTTGAAATCGTTTGAACATGACATGCGTCAGAATCTTGCCAGCAGTGGAGAGCAAGGATATGTTACGACTGTTACCACACAATTGTCTATCGCCTTTATTTATGTAGATGGACAAGATGCCTGCATTTTTTCATTGTTGTGATACTAGCACACTTGAAGAATGCCGCTGACATAGACAGAGACCACCATATTTGTATATTTCTACGGGATTGCCGTCTGGTCCTGCCGTATTGTTATTTTTCATTCTCTTGGCAACTGACAAAATCTCGTCAAGAGCAGCTGAGCTATCAAGCTCAGTAACAACCTGGAATTTCGGAAAAGCACTATAAATGTCGGATCGACCGGGTTGACACAGTTCAACAGATCACTAAAGGACTCGGCTCAGCGTGACACAATTCCATCAAGGTCCCTGATTACTGCAGCACCATCTTTGGACTTTTCTGGCCATGGACAGACTTGAGAAAGTCCTATAATTTTTACGTGTTCTTTTTATCCACTAATTTCTGTAGTTCTCTACCCTAGCTCTCTTTATCCACCAATTGTTTTCAACGCAACGTAGCACCTGCCGTACCTTTGCACTTTTTCCATGCAAGAATAATAGTGGGTGAGTCTGGACTGCAAAGCCTGTTTTTATGGGTTTTATTCTTTGTTTGCAAAAGATCAAGAATACCAGTCCTGATGCTTTTTTGTGAAAAACACAAGAACCTCGGTAGTTGTTGACATTATACAAAAGCCGATTATTGACCATTCATCGGTCATTGAGGGTACACTAGTAGGTTGCTGAAATACAGTGGACAACTCAGTTTTTTGAGTATGTATAGTAAGATCATCTTAAAGTTTTTTCTGCACTATCAGGTTTTGGCATGCTCCAATGTTCAGTCTTTTATTTGGACCCTGTCTATGAGTTGGTGGGATTAATCAAATTTGGATACGACAAGAAGAGAATCAATCTAACACTCTGCGCCTCTCATAACTCGTGTGTGATTGACAGTGCAGCAACGTCGATTTGGTATCTGCGCAACTCAAGTGCAATAAGGGCGGTGCGCCGCGCAGGTCGTTTCGTTAAAGTTCAATCCAAAAGCATTCCGACGTTCCATGTCACAAATCAAATTATTCCACCAGTCAATTATTGTTTTTGACCGCTTAGAAAAATTTCCATTAAGCGTGGTTAATTATTTGGAAAGAGGATGGAAACGAAAATTTTTTAGACCCTCCTTGTTTGAAATGAGCAATATGAGCAGTGTGAGCCCTAAAAAGAGCTGTTCAGTCGCCCTGGAAGCTGCTGAGGAGATTTGTCTTTTCCTTTTCTAAGTCTCAACGACCATCACTCTAGAACCGCCTGCGTACAGCACACAGACTAAAATCTTCCAATTCAATCTTGAATTTACCTCCGTCGCCTGTATAACCACAGGTTTTAAAAAAGCCTCCTGTAACCGGTATTAGCGCGATAAACAGACGCAGTAGAATTTTAACGTGAAAGGAAGTTGCGAAGGTCCTCGGTCCACAAAACTTTGCTGCACCCGTCTGAACCTAGTGGCATGAACAATTTACAACACGACTAGAAAAGACTGCAACTGCAGACACCTGCCGGTTTATTCTTCTATATCATAAAAGCCGCCTGACGCGTGGTCTGAACGCGGGTTTGCGATCAGAGTTTTTCTTCTAGACGATGTGCTATCCCTAGCTTCGAACTCTATCCACACTGGTTTTGTTAATGTACTTTCTCTGGGTTCTGCAATTAGAATTAACCTTCTCTTAGGCAGTTTGGTAATGAGTGCTATCAAGCGCCAGAAACTCGCTTTTACCCCTTTTGCATTACCCATGGGGAGCGACGAGGACGCCAGCTGGACTTTAGGAGCAGAGCCTGTATATTCTATTTTTTATAGTATATATATATATGTATATATATATGTATAGTATATATATATATATGTACAGACATACATACATACATACATACATACATAAACACTACCGGGCACTGGCTCGCAAATCACTTTTTATTTTATTTATACCTGTTCCGGCCTTTAGTTTCGCCTTAGATTTTCGTCATTTTTTTATTCGACTTGCTGAAGCTTTGTAAAAAGCGTCAAAATTTGTGACAGTTCACCATATTTTTATATTTTTTACATAGCGGTTAGAAACTGGTAGAGTAGGGTAGAAATATGTCTGCTGACGACAGTTCAAACGCAAATACTTTGAAAGGTAAAGTGCAAGCTATGATAACGGAGGTGACTAATTTGAAAGATTCTTATTACGTGAACGTCAAAAGCATCGAAGGAGAGAGGCACACCAAATTTATAGTGAGATTTATCATTTATTCATTACTATTATTGGTTTAATTAAAAATTATTTCTAATCACTGCCTAATTAATTAAATTAATTAATTTAAAACTAATGAAAAATAAACTATTTTTAAATGCACCAACAACTGCTGCATATATTATGAAAATTTGTTAGGTACAAATTAGGTGAGTACCTGGATATTTTTATCTTAGTCTGCCGTTAATACCTCACATATTCATGAAAGTTTACTAGATCTACAATAAAATACAGCGACATATTTTTTTTATTTAGTTAATGCCCATTAAATTAATGGTAATAGTCACTGTGCACAGTAATCATTACTATACTATACTTATACTAAGTCTGTGAAAAATGACATAGCTTCACTTGTGAAACATCCTATGGACATAGTAGTATGGTCATAGTTCAAATCTTAGATGAAAGTAATAAATTAAATTTCATTTTACAGCATTTAAAAATTTGAAGATAATTTTTGTTTCATAGCTTTTTTTTTTAAATTTATTATTTATATTTATTTATTACAAATGAGAGATGTACATATGTTCCAAGAATACCTAAGGAAGATACCTAGGGAGATGCAACATCATTCTTAAAAACATTGAAGTGGTTTATTACTTACTGATTTAATTGTTTTATAAGATTTTTGTCCAGCTAACGAAAATTTTTTGTGAGATTGACAATTGATATATCGGCAATATATTGTTCATAAAAATATCGATGTTAATATATATTATGCTGAAAGAATTTAGAATTAGTGATTAATTTCTGCTGAGTTGATCTGTTGCATGTGTTTAATAATATATATATATATTATTATTATTACCAAAAGATTTATCTAGCGCTAGTTAGTTAAAATTCAAAAATTAAGATATCACTGTAACGAAAACAAAAATGTTTTGAGTTTCTTTCTGAAGCATGTCATGGTCAACCCAATGTCCCTGAGTGAAGCCAGCAGACCATTCCAGATAGTCGGTCCTGAAACAGCAATCCATAATACAAACTGTTGCAGTAATCAACTCTCGAGTGAACAAATGCATGAACAAGTGTCTAAAGCATAGAGACGTTCAATGATCCATGAATTTGATTCAATCTTCTAATCTAATACATGCAATCTCTTGAAACCCTCTTGGTATGGTGCTTCATTGTTAGATTCGAATCAAAAATCACACCCAGATTAGTCGCATTGTTACAAAATAAAATTGTCTCTTCATCAACTGTGGTCGAGTTTATCTTCAATTTTGACAACTGCTGCCATGTTCCCACTGGCTAAAGTTTAGTTTTATTTCGATTTAATTTCAAGCCATTTTGCGACATCCATAAATCAACAGCTGACAAGCATTCTACAAATTTTTTCATTTCCAACGGGAATGAATCTATTGTACTATTAACTATTATTTGAATATCGTCCGCAAAAGCGTGACTTGTCAACCCAAATGATTCAACTACGTTAAATACCTCTGACGTATAGAGCAGAAACAACAACGGGCCAAGAACCGACCCCTGTGGCACACCAAAGACAACTCCACTGACGTCAGACATCTTATTTCCAAATGATACTTGCTGACATCTACCAACCAAATAAGATTTCATCCATTCTAAAACATTCTAAAATGGTTAAGCGCTGGGTTTCGTTGTTGGTTAAGTTTCGGACCAACAACGAAAACAAAGAAGTAATAAAAACTAGTATCGTAAATAGTGACAAAGAAGAATATGATGCTATCAATGAAGAAAAGGAGACCAAAGAAGATGACCAGCCAATAAAGAAACCTGACACCTAACTCGCATCAAAGTTCAACTTTACAACACCAAAGTTAATTTTTACAACGTCAAAGTTCATCTTGACAAAGTCTATATTTCCCTATATATACAGCAAGGAGCACTGATGATGATTCATTCGGAATCGAAATATGGCCTTATTTGCAGCAAGAATTCGAAAACTAAGTTTATTTTGAATTTTAATAAACTAAACGTTCACCAAAAAACTTTAGTGAGAAAAATCGAAAAACCGAACTACAAACATATTAACGCCAAACATTCGGTAGAATTTATAGAATATTGTAAAAATTATGGTCTATTACCAACATATATATATATATATATATATATATATACACATATGTATATATATATATATATATATATGCAGTCTTAATCCAATATATACGTATACATATTTGGTTGGTTATATATATTACCAATATTCATATATATATATGTTAGTTAACTTCCTGTTTAACTTTTCTAATGGTAGATCGTAAATCATTTTCAAGTTTCTTGAGTTCAAAACCAAAATTTTTGTTTATTTTATGCATGATAGAACAAAAAAGCTTTTTTCAGTATTCCTATACCATCTTCAGTGTTTGAATTGATACGTTGTGTATGTGGCCAGATGCTCAAATATATATATATATTTGTTACGTACAAAGATGATGATCATTATCTTCATATGTAACAAGTATATGATGACAATATATTTTTTACATATGAAGATGATGATCAAATAGCAAGACTTCTACAATGACTAAATTTGTCAAAATTAAAGTTTACAATGAAAAAGTCAAATGACAATAAACTAACATTCCTAGATCTACTAATACAATATGCGGAAAATGAATTGAAAACAGTATACACCAAAGCAACAAACAAAGGTTTATGCCTCAATGACAATATTGAATGTTGTCAAACATATCTAGAGAGCACGATCTCTGCCTTAGTAAACTTAGCCTATATGCACTTTTCTGATATAGGAAGCAGGAGGACAGAACTAGATAGAACACAAAACTACTCATTAATAATGGATATAAAAATTTCATGATCTAGAAAATAATAGAACGCAAAGAACGCAAAACAACTATGCAACCAACAATAGTAAGAAAAATAACATAGTAATATATTGTTATAACCGTGCTACCGAACTCACTAGATTCTAGCGTATTCTAGAATGTTCTAGTGACTGGAACGTTCTAGAGTATACTGGAATCGGACCATCTGGAAGAATCTAGAAACGACGCTTGCGAAGAGTATATAAGCGCACGTCGCAAGAGATTCGTGATTAGTGATATTCGTGATTAGTGATATTCGTGATTAGTGATATTCGTGATTAGTGATATTCGTGATTAGTGATATTCGTGATTAGTGATATTCGTGATTAGTGATATTCGTGATTAGTGATATTCGTGATTAGTGATATTCGTGATTAGTGATATTCGTGATTAGTGATATTCGTGATTAGTGATATTCGTGATTAGTGATATTCGTGATTAATGATATTCGTGATTAGTGATATTCGTGATTAGTGAAATTCGTGATTTTGTGAATAGCGATTCGGTGAATTATTTAAAGCGATATTTGATTGGTTTGTTGACGTTGTCATAGCGATCGATTTTGAACGATTTAAAAGTTAATTGTTGCGTTAGTTTGAACTTACTGGAAATAAACGATTAGTTGATTTCTTCTGTAAATAAAGTTTAATAACTAATAATAGTTGATTTCTTCTGTGAATAAAGTTTAATAACTGTTTGGAATATTTTATTCAATCGAGGATTTGAACCCGTCGCATCGTAAATCGGTTACGATAGCGAGTATTATAACAATATTATAAGAATCACATGTCAACCGCTTTCGAACAAGATGAAAATATCATGAAAAGAATCATAATAAATAACGTCCAAGCAACAAACGAAAACGATAGTATTAAATGACGAATATACTACTCCAACCAAAGAACGTCATCTCTTGTGATGAAAACAACTGCACTAATAAACCAGAATTGCTAATAGTTCATAGCCATTTAATATATTTGTTCAAATGTAATATTGGTGAGTGTATGCACCATTATTCCGAATATATTGGTATGTCAGCGACCAAGTTATCGAGAAGACTCACTATGCACGTACAAACTGGCGCTATGAAGAATCACATAAAAGAGAAACACAAAACTAACATTACTAGACAAATCTTGAACCACAATTTTGAAATCTTACATTACAATATCAACCATTATA